TTTTGGTCATGTTGTAAGAAGGGACCATTCCCTGGAGAAGGATGTCATGCTTGGTAGGGTGGAGGGTCGACGAAAGAGGGGTGGCCTTCAGGGAGATGGATTGATACAGTGGCTGCGATGATGGGCTCAAGTATAGCATGGATTGTGGGGCTGGCGCGGGATTGGGCAGTTGTTTCGTTCTGCTGTGCATGGGGTCGCTATGAGTCGGAAACGACTCGACAGCACTTAACAACAACAACAACACACTCCAAAAAGAAAACAGATAATAAAAAATATAAGTAGCTATTCCACTCTCCCACAAAAATGCCAACGGATTCTTTTCCCTATCTTTCTTCCAAAGTTGTTCCAATCCTCGGCAATCTGCCTACCCCTCTCTACCAGCACAACCACCACCACCAAACCACTAGAAGTGGACACCTACCAGGTACCTAGACCTTCTTACTGCCACTACATCTGAGCTCTTCTCAGGCCTGAGAATGAGCTGCACCAACGACTCTGTCCTGCTTGAAACACACCCTTGGACTTGGAGGAAACTCCTTCCTGCTGTGCCACTCTCAGCATGTTTGCACCTGGTAAACAGTTGTATTTTCCCTCAACTCCCCTTTTCTTACCCCAAATGCTCTCCTCAAGAAGTACTCATCCAGTCAAGAAAAGGGTTTCACAAAGAAAAGAAATATTCTTTGATAGTTAACAGGGGTGAGTGGGGAAGGGAGGGTAAAAGCACTAACTAAAGGGTACATGCATATAACTTGATATAACTTGGGTGAAGGGAAAAGCCAGGGGAAACTGCTCATCCATGCCTACATCTAATCCAGCAACTCAGAGGGACAGTCAAGTCTACAGTCCTCAACTAACCTCCCTCCTAAGCTCCAGACCAGTGTTCATCTCCACATTAAACAACAACTTTAGGGTGTTCCTTAGATCTGTAAGCTCAGCATTTTCAGACAAAAACTGAGCTCAACATTTTCCCAAAATCTGCTTTTCTCCTTACAGTCCTACTTTGGTGAATATTACCACTATTTCTACTCAAAGTCAAATCTAAGAATCATCCTATACTTCTCCCCAATCAACGATCAACTTGTATTAAGCCCACTCCTAAAACCAATTGCCTTTGAGGCAATTCCAACTCATGGTGACCACAAGTGTGTCAGAGTAGAACTATGTTCCATGGGGTTTTTCAACAGCTGCTTTTTTTTTTTTTTAGTAGATTGCCAGGTCTTTCTTCCAAGGCACCTGTGGACGGGCTCTAATCACCAAG